TGAATCATAGACTGGCTGATGATAAACAGGCAGAGTGCTGAGGGAAACTGCTGGCTTAAATACAGAGGAACACAGGTGAGTTGCATGAGCTGATTACCTGAGGATGTGTGAAGGGAGGGGGAGCAGGGCCGTGACAAAGCTGAGGAAAAGAGCTGCTAAAAMCACATGACATGAGATAAAAACAAACAAAACTAAMACTAGACCTAAAACTATAACAATACTATGAAAGGCAATGACAGTTGTGGTCAAGAGTAGACTGCTATTAGCAGCAAAACACTTATTTTTAATTAAATGAGGAAGTTCTGTGCCAAGTGTGTTTCCTTTCTCTTTTGTGTCTTTATTAGAGTTCACAGCCAGCTGTTCAGTTCAGTACTAAACGCTTTTACCTTTTTACTGAAGAGTAGGAATCACTTCTCCGTTAGCTTAACGTCACCAAAGTCATCCCAGGTCATTTGTGTGTTTTCTTCAAACACAAGTATTAATATCACATTCCATATAAACAAAGATACAAAGAGAAAGTTTTGCAAATGCAGCTGATCATGGAAGTTTCCAAATTAATGACTGGACCTCTGTTTGATTTGCATATTTACAGAGAAGTACACARGCAGCGTTCAAATGTGGAAATGAGTGGAAACAAGTTTTAACATAGTTTCATTTTTATGTGCAGGAAGTGATCTTTATCTGTGTCATGCTATTTGTAGAGTTTAATACTGGGCAGCTCTGGGTTTCGGAAAGTTTTAGACATGATTAAAAATCAAGACTTTTATTAGAAGATGTTTTTGGATTATTTTCTGTATGTGTGTTCTTTAAAAGGCACAGGAACTGAGAAATTTAAATATAAGAAAGTCTATAAAAACAATCAAGATTTTAACTTGAAGATCCATCATGCTATTTATACATGAGGACTATTATGGGTTGGGGGGGTGTTTGCACAATGTAAACCTATCTACAAGACGTGGGTGGTCTAACACCACATTTTTACAGCAGTGTTCCCAAAGAGAACAAAAATATAACAAAACCTTTTTTCTTTTAGAATTTCAGTATCATTTTTCACTTCGGTAAGAAAATAACCTTTTGAAATCAATCATTTCGAAAATGATTGCTCTGTTACGTAAAACGGGTTTCTACAGAGAAGTGCCAATGATGTTTTCTGCAGGAACATTTTAAAACCCTGATAACAAGGCCTCTTGGATTGTGCCACGTCATGAAATWTGACAATAAAGAGCCACGTCAAGCTGTAAAAAGTGACCGCAAGAGGTGCTGACCAACAGTGGACGTGTTAAWGACACAACAAGTTGTTTCATTAAGGCTTCTGGGATATTTCATCTCTGTCTGTTCATCTTTTCTTCCGAATGGGCCTCATGCTGCACCCCAAAGATCAGGTCACACATGTCCTGCAGGCGTCGCTTTGAAAAGGCGAGGAAAAAGAGACATTTTGTCGACAGCTTCCTGTCATGTTCCGTTTTGCTGCAGATGATTCTGGGTAAATATGATCAGGCTTCTCACCTCATCCTGTCTGATTATGAACCGATAYTGTGTTAAACCCATCCAAGTCAACAGATTTAGCTAAAAATAACCTCGATTCTGCTCCCCCCTGCATCATTTCATCATTTCTGTTCCTCGTTTCTCTTTTGCGACATTGTGTAACAGCTGGKTTTGGTAACTGTCACTCCCCCACAGGCTTGTCTCGCTCCGCCCACCACCCGGGGCACACCTGTATGCTAATAGAGAGGGATTGCACCATCGCACAGTGTGGGCAGGTGTGAAGCTCAGTCCTTTGGCTACAAGACAAATGCCCTCCTGAAGCTCGGGATCTGCTCCCACGTACAACATGTGGGTGTGAGGATTCCCTTTCAGACTTTGCTTYCTTTTTTTTTATAATGACTTTCACTCTTATTTCCCACCTTCTCCATCTCTTTTTTAATCTCATGATGTCAGCTTTTTATTTCTTTACAGCTACATTGTGCRCCTTTGTTTTGTTCCAACTCTTCTTTTTGTACTTTGTGGTTTACCCCCTTGATTTTTCTCAGCTGATTAAAGAGTGATTAAAAGTTAACTGTAGTGCTCGTGTGGGGTAAGTTTGTGTGTCTGAGCAGAGCCGTGGTGACTGCGTAGGTTCTTTTTATTTTATTTTTTTGTATCTCGCCTGCTGCGCCAGAGTTTCATCAGGCGAGGACTCCTCCGGCTGGTTTGTGTGGGCAGCAACAGGGAACACACACAGATGAGAATAAACCAGCTGACCCAAACACACTTTCTACTAACACACAACATCTCCATCCACACACAGATTAATTCTCCTTCTCCTGCCCTTTCAGCATCCGTCTCCCCTCCATGCGTCAGTGGGAAGAGGGGGCCCAAACAACCCAGTGCGAAGTGTTTATCATCTTTATTACTTTATTACTTTTCTGAGTTTCCCCTAATCTGATTTTATTACATTGTTATCGGATGATGAGTTCTCTCCTCTGCGCTCTCTACCTTTTCTTCTTTGCCTTGCTGCAGATTTTTCACGCTCGGCAACTGATGCATGGCTGCGAAAACSGATGCAGACAGGAGTTTAGATTTTGTTCAACTCGCCACACAAACACCTCACCTTTCCTCCTCTTTTATCATTGTAGATAAAAAAAAGCCAAATCTAAAGTGTGTGAACTTGTGGAGGTGACACCTCAGTGCAGTATATCTCCAAAAWAACATTGATTTGATCATTTTAGTCTGTTCTGAATCAGTTTGTTTTATCTTCTGCTGTTAAACAAACAAATTCTACAACAAAATGTGCAGCTCGATTGTGACTAACGAGCTCTGACTTTTTGTAGGTGCAATGTRCAATGAACAAAATTTGCAAAAAAGCTGTAATAAATTACATATTTGAGGCTAAATTTGTAGCTGGTGTTTCTCTCATTAAAAACACAGGTGTGGTTGCTATGAGGACCATAATGAACGACTGGCAGCAGCTTAAACATTTGGTCTGGTAAACGCAAATCTTATATATATATTAACTTAGATTATTGGATTTTTTTTAGCTGAAACATATGTTGACATCCTACATCTATTTAAACATATATCTGTGTGAAAAAAAAAACAGTATTACATATTCAGCTGTGCCCCCAACTTCAGGGTTATTTGGGTTTTCAGCTGCAGATCATCTATAATAWATGACAGGCTTTTAATATCAGTCTAATGGGGGTTAACAGAGAGATTTGCCAGAGGCTGGATGAGAAACACCTGGGAGGGGGAGACCAAAAAAAGTCAATGAGCACCTGAATGATGTTTTGTTTTGTTGCGACATCATTCAGAATTAAACATGTTCAGAGATTTGCCTTGAATCTGCTGGAATAACGTTGCTGCACGCTTGTAATGAGAGGTGGCTTCACACATATACTGAATCAGCACAGGCAACATCTCTTTTCTGAATTCTCCTGCACGGGGGGGGGCTCCTCAAAGTCTCCAACCCACGATGCCCCCCCCAATGAGGTTGTTCTCTTATAGATCCGGTCAGCAGCGAAGGGAAACACATTGATTTCTCGTCAGCATCCAGCGAGCGGAGCGGGGTGAGCGAGGCGAGGAGGCATGAGCAGCCGAGGGGGGAGCATCGGTATCCCGCAGGCGTCCCCGCAGCTGCGCGCTGCGTTCTTAATGCGGCCCATTAAGCCTCTGAGTGGCAGAGAGATCCCCTGAATATTGAGCATGGGAGGGGAGGGAGGGGGGCACCCCTCAATTAGACAGACGGGGCCCGCACCTCGTCAGCATCCGGCTATGTTGCTCTCATTAATCAATGACATATGCAGGCGAGCGAGACTGAAAGTTAATTTGGAGGAAGTTTGCCAGCACCCAGCAGGGTTTTAAACAGTCTGAGCCGCTGAGCGTTTAACTTATTGAACTCCTTAAAAGAGTTGAAAATAGGCCCAATTACGAGCAGAAATGAGCGTTTGTTTCAGATTCATGTGTTCAGTTTGATCACTGAAAAAGCAAAAGCAGTAAAGCTGTTTGTCTCCAGTTTTCAAACAGAAAACAAAAAAGAAAAGAAAAAAAAGACAGAAAGAAAAAAAAGGGCTCTGCTGCTCGCATTAGTTATTGTGAACGCTGGACATGATTTGCACTCTTTGCCTCTCATTCTCTGCCAAACAGGCGAGCCGCCTCAGGAAGTCCCAAATAAGGACAAGGGAACTGGAAACCCACCGGAATAGGTCCTTATGTAGTCACGACCTTATAAGGCACGGCGGAGCAGGGCTTTCCGGCAGCGGCGCAGCCTGCTGCACAGATGGGAGATCCAAATCAAATCTACGGCGCGAGCGGGACAGAGCCGAGAGTTATGCGGCTGTCGGCCCGGGCTGCTCGGCGATGAAGACGCATCGATTCGTGGACCGAGAGAAGAGCGCCTCGGTGTCTTTGCAATTTACTGCGAGCGCTTAATATAAAGTCTCACTTTCTGTTTTCCTCCCCGCTGGGCCGGCGTCATGTGTCCTCCACTGCAGTGCCTAAATATGGGCTTCCTCTGCTCCTAATATGGACATCTACGTCACGGCGAGAGGATATAAATCTGCGGGGAAACCTCGCAGCTCAAAGAGAGCTCGGAGAGCAACACAAGAGCAACTGTTAGAACAGAGAGAGAGAGACAGAGAGAAACACACAACCGAGAAACAAAACAGCAAAAGTAACAAGTCCATTCAAAACAACATCCATCCAAGACGGTCCGCACCTGACTGGATGAGCAGCCTGATTTATTGCAAMAAGTCGAAATTGATCATCTGATTAATTTTGATTCATTTTTAGGGAATGAGCTTGAAGGACATTTGAATCTTTTGGTTGAAAAAGACAAGTGGATTTTTTTTTTTTCCTTGGGGGAGAAAAACAAGAAGAGACCTGGAGATCGGAGGCAGGGAACGGTGACCTCCACCGCATCAGCGCTCCAAGAGTGATCTCGTCCACCTGCGAGGCTCTGCTCTGCCAGCCTCCACACTCCCCCCCCCTTCCGCCACCCTCTGCACGCGACAAGCAGCCGCCAGCCCTGCAGCTTCAGCACCAGCAGAGGATGGCTGCAGCCAAGACCGAGATGATCCTGCCTGCCCTGCAGATCTCTGAGCCCCTKAGCTTCCCTCACTCCCCCATGGATAACTACCCCAAGCTGGAGGAGGTGATGATGCTCAGCTCTGCGGGGACCCCCTTCCTCACTGCCTCTGCACCCGAGGGTGCGGGCTTTGGCTCCGGCGAGCCAGGAGAGCAGTACGACCACCTTGCAGGAGGTAAGAGATGCGCTTCTTTTTTTAAAAAAATTATTATTACTCTTTTTCTCTAAACTGCTTGTAAGTCTTTAATGAACTGACTATAATTAAAACAGATTTATTAAATGCAAATTTCAATTCAGTTTCTAAACTTCAAATAATTAAACTTTTTAAATGAATATTTTCATTGCAAGTTTATGCAATATATTTTATAATTTATGCAATGTAGCTGGTTGTAAATCAATATAAACTATAGATTAATATGGACTTAACAAAATAAAATAAAATAACTTTTAAGACAAATTACTAACAGCTCCGAACTGCGCAGTCATCAGATGTTTTTAGATGCTTCTTTTGCTCAATTCAGATTGCATAGCTAAATTCAGCTGAGCTGCAGTTTCAGTAATCAATTGCCTCTGGCTCTGATGGTCTTTAAGAATCTGTGTGTGTGCRCGCGCGAGTGTGTGTGTGGAACACAGGAAGACAGAAAATGAGAGAAAAATCGAGAAAGTGTGAGTGAATGAAAATGTGTGCTGGCACAGCAGCTTGTTGAGATGTAGTGGAGAGAGTTTTGAGGGGAAAGAGTTTGTTTGAAGGGGGTTTGTCAGCGTGGGCACCTGACTGATCTGTCGCACTTTACCTGGAAGACACTGTCCATCTTTCTGGCAGGATTCCCTGTCTTTTGTTCTTTGTTTTAAATATTGACATTTTTCATTAATGTCTGTATTCTCTGTGCTCTCTGCAGATACGTTATCTGAAATCCCCTTCAGCTGCGAGAAGCCAGTGGTGGAGCAGACCTAYGCCTCGCAGAGGCTGCCCCCCATCTCCTACACTGGCCGCTTCACCCTTGAACCCGCCAGCACATGCAGCAACAGCCTCTGGGCGGAGCCCATCTTGGGCCTGTTCACCAACCTGATGAGCAGTGTTGCTCCGTCGTCCAACTCTTCTTCGGTCTCCGCACAGACCACCTCATCCTCCTCAGCAGCCATACCATCCTCCTCCACCTCTTCTTCAACCTCTTCGACCTCTCAGAACTCCAGCCTCAGCTCCTCGATCCACCACAGTGAGCCAAACCCGATCTACTCAGCTGCCCCGACCTACTCCAGCCCCAACTCAGACATTTTCCCAGACCAGGGCCAGGCTTTTCCCAACTCATCTGGAGGAGCGCAGTACCCTCCCCCYGCCTACCCCAACAACAAGACCTGCAGCTTCCCCGTGCCCATGATTCCTGATTACCTCTTCCCACAGCAGCAGGGAGAGATCAGCCTGGTGCCCCCGGACCAGAAACCCTTCCAGAGTCAGTCGAGCCAGCCTTCCCTCACTCCTCTGTCCACCATCAAGGCTTTTGCCACTCAGACTGGTTCACAGGACATAAAAAGTGTGTACCAGTCCCAGCTGATAAAGCCCAGCCGCATGCGCAAATACCCCACCCGGCCGAGCAAGACGCCACCTCACGAAAGGCCCTACGCCTGCCCTGTGGAGACCTGCGACCGCCGCTTCTCACGGTCCGACGAGTTGACACGTCACATCCGCATCCACACGGGCCAGAAACCCTTCCAGTGCCGCATCTGCATGCGAAACTTCAGCCGCAGCGACCACCTGACAACGCACATCCGCACGCACACCGGGGAGAAGCCCTTTGCCTGCGAGATCTGCGGACGCAAGTTTGCACGCAGCGACGAGAGGAAAAGGCACACAAAGATCCACCTACGGCAGAAGGACAAGAAGGCGGAGAAGGCAGGCGCTGTGGCGGTGACATCAGCGCCCGTATCGGCTGCTTCGCCTGCCTCCAGTTACCCCTCGCCCATCACCTCCTACCCATCTCCGGTGTCTTCGTACTCCTCTCCAGTCACCTCCTGCTACTCCTCTCCCGTCCACACTTCCTATCCGTCTCCTTCCGTCGCCACCACCTACCCATCGGTGTCCATGTCCACCACCTTTCAGTCCCAAGTCGCCTCCTCCTTCCCATCCTCGGTTGCATCGAACATCTACAGCTCCCCCGTCCCCACCCCACTCTCAGACTTGCAGACCACCCTCTCCCCGAGGACAATCGAGATCTGCTAAAAAAAAGAAGAAGCAGGGGAAAAAAAACTTTTTTATTCTCTCTACGCACTTCTGCTTCTGCAAGAGATTTTTTTATGAGGGGAAAGAAATCAGCATCAAAAGGACTTTGTTTTCTTCCTCCWAAAAGCACTTTCCTGCTCCCTGTGCAGTGTTAGGCGAATCTTAAGATTTGCCTGAAAGAAAGTAAAAGACACATGTCAAGGATCGGGCAAGGACAATACAACTTGAAAAGGGATTTTTTTCTCTCTCTGTGTTTGTTAAACAAATAGAGCACTTCAAATGTATAAGGGACTTCAGAAACAGGGAGTAGAAAGCAGCTGACGGGTTTGTACTTTTAGCGCCCCAACCTCYCTAAAAACAACAAGACATTCAGATTGCCAGCGTTGTAGTGCTGAGGCATGTCCGTCCTTGAGGCATTCACTCAAAAGACATTGGATAATATACATAAGCTATCATGTATGTATATTGTACATGTGCCATGTTTTGTTTCTATCATTCTTTGATACCACTGATGTGAACAACTCTTTGCATATTTGCATTGTATTATTTGAAGTGACCGGGGCCATATTTTCTACATACTTCTTCTATTCTGTAGTGATGATGCTGTGACACGTTTTGACGATGTTTGGAAAAAAAAGGAAAAAAAAAGCACTTAAGTATTCGAGCATGAGTAAGAGTGATGTTATTTCTGTTTGTAAATATCATCCCACTGCTACGATCTCCTCCTCACGTGACATATCGCTTGGTTCTACGAAAAACAACTAGAAATGAAAAAAAAAAAACACCATTTTTTAAAAAGAAAATTGAAACAAAACAAACGCTCCTGTTATTCGGTGCCTTTTGTGAAGCCTTGCAGATGTTGTGACTCGGCTGAATGCGAGAAGAGGATGCACTGCATCTCGCCTTAAGGGTTGAGGGAATATTTTTGTTACAGAATGTACGTACTCCGAGGAGAGAGGAGGAAAAATAAAACGGGGGGATGATGAGCTATGAGGGCACCGCTTCATTTTGTCAGAATGTAAGCAAAAAATTWAAAAAATAAATAAAAAAATAAGGGATATAAAAGTATATTTTTGTAAAACTTACGTGTAAATATCCACATCTTCAAGAGCTGGAATGTTGAAGTTACCTACTGAGTAGGCATGGGATTCTTTTGTATGTTATATACATGCAGTTCATTATTTTGTGGTTTATCTTTATTTTGTATTTGTGTTTGTTAAAACAAGTGACTGTTTCTGGCTTCTAAACACATTGAATGCGCTTAACTGCCAATGGGATATTTGGTGTACAAGATATCCTCCCAGAAATGAAATATAAATAAAAATATAAATATATATGAAGAGTTGTTTCCAGAATTTATTGCTCAACTTCAGTTTTTRAGTGTTTTACATATCTTCATCCCAATACATTCCACAAGTCACKTTTTTCATACATAAAAACCACATTCTTTATCAATATACATTGAATTATTTTTTGCAAATGATCAGATTAACCATAACTTTACATCACAGAGGGCTTTGCTTCACTTTGAAGAAAAATAGACACATCAAACTTCAATACTAATTTTCTTCAGTGCAAAATAAAATAAAGATAACACCAAACCATAACAGTATTCTGAAGATTAAAAATCTCTTATCTAGATCACTTGAGGACACTTCGCTTATCAAATTTTCCATTTTATTTCAGAWTCCATGATACACTGATTGAACACTCTTCCTTTGATTTGATCTGTGTGCTGACAGAGAAGTGACGTTCAGATGGGGTCATTTACTTGTCGTTAGGGTCATTTTCACGAGCTGCAAGTGAAAAATCCCACAAACGGTCGCCCTCTTCTTCACAAATACGCTGGCGAGTCACTTAGCGAGCAAGCTCCATGCACATTAGCGTGAACTGTTTGGCAGAGAAAGCTAGCCCCAAAGCTTTAAATTCTGTTTGTTTTGGGTTTTTCAAGCAGAGCATAATAACAGTTTCAACGTAAGCGTCTTTATTCAGCTGTCAGTAAAGTTCCCAAGGCAAAGGAATTCTTGCTCCCTGTTTAGAAGTAAGGCAGCTCGTAATTCGTAACCAACGCGAAAGTCACCCCCCCACCCTCGTGAGCTTTAGAGTAATTTCATGTTGTGAAATGCACAAGCCAAAACACTCACAAATGCAAACCCAGCTAAAATAGAAAACAGGAAAAATGTGTAGACGGGAGTGAAGAGGGAAAAGGAGAATAATTAGGATAATTGGTCTCTTGATCCCAAATTTTCAAACTGAGTCTGTTGAGTTGTGTTTGTACCAGTCTGTGTGTGTTTGTGTGTGCATGCATGACGCTGATGTACAGCAGTGTAAATGCCTGAAATTTATCTTTATTCTTCTTTGCTTGTGGATTGAAGCGCGTGTGAAATAAACCTGGACAAAATCTGTGTGCATGTCTGCATCAGCCAAAACAAAGAGGGGGGAAAAAATAAAAATAAAACCGCTCATTTTCCGGCTTGCCATCTATACGGCACCATCGCTCTTTTATAAATATTGAAATGCACACATAAGAGGAGCGCATCACACAAACACAAATCAGCATCGTGGTGAGATAAATCATCTTGATGTTTAAATTATGACTCTTCTCCCTTCGAAGCTTATCTAGCTCTTCTGGGAAAAAAATTTCAAGACTTCTTGTGTGGCTTTAGAATAAAGAGGGAAAAAAAGAAATAAAATCTGTCATGTCCCGTCATTGTTTGTAGCGTTATTTTGGTGACTGGCAGCAAATAAAGAGCCATTCAGCAGCTTTCGCCTGAAAAACTTTCTCATATTGCCACACTTTTGGAAAGTCTTGATGAGAAAACCACAGACTGTGCTCTCTCAGCCCTTTTTTCATAGTTAAGAGACAGTATTTCACCCACTGTTAGTCATACATGGGGAGTCTGTGGCCTGACTTGGARTACGTGAGTAGAACGCAAGACAGACTTCAGGCCAATCTTAAGACTGCAGCAGATTTGGACTTGAGCCTCCTTATCAAAGCTCACGTATTGGGTGTGTTCTGTTCAGGGAGGTGTTGCAGTGTGAAAAATATATTTTTGGTGGGGTGGGGGGGTGTGCAGATGAGTTGCGGCTCCGCTCTGTTGTAACCCACAGTGGATCCACCTCACACACCCAGCGGGCCTCCACTTCAAGAGCTCCTGCCTTTGTTTAAGAATCTATTTGTTCTCATATTCTTTTGGAGAACTTTGTAAAACAGAAAGAAACGAATATGGTGGAGAATCGTTCTTTCTCCCAAAGCCCTCCGACACCTCACTGCCATCACTCTGCCTCGGTCCCCCCCCTCCTCTCTGACTGTACCCCTCTCTCTCTCTCCGTGGTAATGCATATTTTGCTAGGGATGCTAATGATCTTCCCCTGCTGTATTCTGATGCAAGGTCTGTCTACACTTTTCCCTTTCATCCACATACAAATGTGCTCTTATTGCCTCTTCGCCCTCGGGCCTTTTAAGATGCCTTTTTGAAATATGCCGTTTGATAAGCACATCATTGGCCAAGTCCCCACAGTGATTAGAGCTCACTTTAATGTGAGCAAGTTAGAGAGCAAACGAGGGACTCCGGGGCCGACAGCTATCCATTCTCCACTACCCTCACCCCTTGACATCCCCCTTCCTTTCTGGTCCACTGGGGAGAACCCAGTGTTGGGACCCAAATCCTGGCTTAAACACTTCTGGCCTTCGCCCATCTTTCATCTCAGACACGGAGATTAAGAAAAAGGATGAACGACACCGGAGGATCGCCTTCTTAGAAAAGTGACACCGTGTGCTGGAAGGCTAGAGGTTCCTGTGCTTTATCACACGAATGTGACAGTAGGACTGCTCTCTAATGTCTTTTAAATATGCTTCATTGATGTTCAGAGCGTCTCTCTGCCTCAGCTTTCTTATCTTTGGAAAAGAAACAGTCGAGTGCTTTCTTTGCTCACTCGACACCTGTTGCACGTTTTTGGGATTAGCAGCTATGTTTCAACCAGACTCCCACAATTAAAAAAAAAACACGAGAGGTTGGAACAAGTGGGAGTCAAACATCCAAAGTCCACCTCCCGTTCAGGCAATTTGTGAATCCTTCTTTTTTTCTCTTTTTTTTCCACACAAACAAATGTTGCAAATTTGTTCTCCATTTCCGGTTTGGTTAAGATGTGTGATTGTGGTGTATTAGCATTTGCAGAACACCCGTCAAAAAACTCACAAATCACAAGTGTTTTTGATTTTTTTTATTTACTTTTTTGCTACGCAAAACAGATTTTTTGACGTGTCGCCTCCACGATAATCTACAGGTGTCCTGGCAACTTTAGCTCTACTTAATAAGCCTAGCTTATTTGAAGTACTTGGCTTTGAAGAGACAACAAAACAGCACACGCTTAAGTACCTCCAAATATGACACCTCTTCAACTCAGCATCAAGTAYACTACAGCTTTACAAAAGACACCTGGGTGGCTCTGAAATGCAAACAAACCCTTATAAGTCTTTACGTGTCAATGCTATTAAGTAGGCTCCAGTTAGAWTTTTTTTTTCTGTTTGTGAGYTTGAATATTATAGTCAGTTCCTGAACAGAGTTTGGGAAGCGAGATGAATAAATGTAGCAATTTTTCTTCACATTTTTATGGTTTTGTTAAAAAGATGTGTGTTTTGCAAAGAGCAACTGCACAGCGGAGGCTTTTGACAGCAACCTCAATTCATGACAATAATTGTAAAAAAAACTTTGATTCACGTGTTTGAATAGGAAACTCAGGGTGGATCTTCATGGCTGCATTTTTTTTACAAGTGTTTTTTCTGTTTGATGCAGACAAAGAACTGTATTTCAGAGGCACTATTTTTGTCTTGACTACAGATTAAAATGTCAAAACATACCTGTCACAACAATGCAGATTAAAAGTTTTTTTAAATCTTTTGAAATAAGGTTCCGTGGAAAAGTTGATGAACAGTTAACATCTTACTTGTAGATTTTTCACTTAACAATCAA